GCGCAGGGGACATAGAGAGGAGGGAAGTGTAGGCTCAGCCTCAGGGACCTGAGAATCTAGAGAAGGGAAGAAACTAGTGTCCAGAGGGAGGTTGCTGAGGACTGGCTGGCAGTGATCCGGAACCTGTGTGGAATCTCAAATAGGATGCATGTGTCTCCTTTGTCTCCCGCAGAGCCGTGCCATCTCCCCGCTGGGAGCTGGATGCGGAGGAGGCTGGAACAGCCAGCAGAGCCTCCTGGACTTCTTCTGTTTTCCTCTGAGCCCACGGTGGCCCCCTGCCCCGGTATTGCCTCTAATCTGGAGGGTGTGCTCTCTGGACCTCATCCCAGGGGGCCGAGGTTTCTCCCAGGGCTGGAAGGCTTTTCTCTGTGTGTGGCGGCTGGAAATATTTCAACTGAGGGCAGGAGGAGGCTCTGCCAAGACCGTCTGTCCTTCCTCACTGTCCTCCGAGGCTGCACCGATGGACAGCGTCTTCCTGCAGCGAAATCTGTCCCTCGGGGCCCTCAGGCTTCTGAGGAAAGACGAGGGGAGGCCACATCTGTGGGTATTTGCTGTGGCACCTTCCTGGGGCTGCTCTGTGAGGCTGGATTGTATTCCGTGGTGTTTTCCTTGGCTCATCACCAAACACAGCTTGCTTGGAGGTGGAAGAAACGAATTTGTTAACAATTCTCAGGCAGAACAGGCCAGAGGGAGGTAGGGGGCAGAATTAGAGGCAGAACTACGGCCAAGACTGCAGGCCGAGTGACATGCCCTGGTCCAGCTGCTGCCTTGGCCTCTGGCCTCAAGCCAAACCTCACCCTCATGCCCTTCAAGGCCCCTTCCACCAGGAAGCCCTCCTGCTGTTCCACCCCATTACCAGCACTCTTCTGCCTCCAGGACGAGGCCTCCACAGCAACTGGCTGGGGCTCGATTTGTCATTTTGATTTGGTTTTGTTCTCAAGGTGGAGCAGCCCTGTTTCAAAGTCCCCTGCTCCCGAGTTACAGGGGTGAATGTTTCCTAAGCCCAGGGCACCGTTGTTTGTCTGTTTTGTTTTTAATAGACTTTACTTTTTTAGAGTAATTTTAGGTGCACAGCAAAATTGAGGAGAAGGTACAGAGGCTTCCTGTATACCCTCTGCCCCCCAACATGAACAGCCTCCCCCACTATCCACATCCCAAACCACAGTGGTCCATTTGTTCCAACTGATGAACCTACACGGACACATCATCATCACCCAGAGTCCAGAGTTGAATTAGGGCTCACTCTGGGTGCCATACATTCTGTGGGTTTGGACAGATGGATAATAACATGTATCCACCTTTATAGTATCAGATAGACTATTTTCACTGCCCTAAAAATCCTCTGTGCTCCACCTGTTCATCCTTTGCACCCCCCACCCCAGGCAACCACTCATATTTTTACTGTCTCTACAGTTTTGCCTTTTCCAGAATGTCATATAGTTGGAATCATACAGTATGTAACCTTTTCAGAGTGTCTTCTTTCACTTAGTAATATGCATTTAAGTTTCCTCCATGTCTTTTCATAGCTTGATAACTCATTTCTTTTTAGCCCTGAATAATATTCCATTGTCTGGATGGACCACAGTTTAGTTTTCCATTCACCTACTGAAGGGCATCTTGGTTGCAATCAAGTTTTGGCAACTATTAATAAAACTGCCATAAACATTGGTGTGCAGGTTTTTGTGTGAACAGAAGTTTTCAGCTCCTCCTTTGGGTAAATATCAAGAAGCATGATTGTTGGATCATATGATAAGAGTATGTTTAGTTTTGTAAGAAACCACCAAACTGTCTTCCAAAGTGGCTGCACCACTTTGCATTCCCCCCAGCAATGAATGAAAATTCCTATTATTCCACATCCTCGCCAGCATTTGGTGTTGTCAGTGTTCTAGATTTTGGCAATTCTAGTAGGTGTGCGTGGTATCTTGTTATTGTTTTAATTTGCATTTCCCTGAGGACCTATGACGGGAGCATCTTTTCATGTGCTTATTTGCCTTCAAGGCATCTTTGTCCCACACAAGAACAGAGTCACTCTGGGATCTGAGCACTGGCCTTGGTTTCAAGCTCCTCGTTCCTGAAATTAGGGAGTGAGCTTCTTGAGAGCAGAGCTTATGTCTCCTGTTTGCCCCCCACAACCCGCGCCGGGTCAGAGCTTGGCCCTGAAGAAGCTGGGAACAGCAGGTAAGGGCCATGTCTGCTTGTGTGATCGCTGACCTTCAACTGTGGAATGGGGCGAACAGTAGAATCTACCTTACAGAGGCATTTCCAGTAGCACATGTGCTCGTATCGATGAAATAGCAAGAGCCTGGCCCCTGGAAAACGCTTAGGAAAGATTTGCTGATGGTGACAATGACTATTCAACTTGCATTTTGGAGAAATGACCAAATTCCATCAGTCCACAGGACAGCTGAGCTAAGACAGGGCAGCTGATGTCATTCTCTGGCCAAGAAATATGAAGCCATCAACCAGGCAGCCTTCTTGTGTCTCATTATGACTATTTTTTCTAAAATGGGGGCCTAGGAGTTTTTGGGTGATAGGTAGGTAGTAAAGGTTAAAATAAACCAACCATGTCATGGTGGCAGTTCAATTAACTCCACTTCCCAAAGAATACGGCTGGAAAAACACAGTTGCAATTTTAGGATTAAATTTAGAGATTAAGAGAAATTGCCTAATTATGGGATTTCACCCAGGAGTCAAGCTCAAATGTCGGCAAAGGGGTCAGCTGATCAATAAAGGCCCCGTTCACGTGTCGCTCACTCACTTTCTCGACTCCAGGCCAGGCGAGCCGGGGGCTGGCCTTTTTCCTCACACCATTAACACGGACAATTAATGAAACTCTGGAACAGACCCAGACGAAAACCTTGTTGAGAACACTTCCTCTCCACTTCACCGGCACAAACATCTATTCTGGGTTTGGGCTGTTTTCCAAGTTGGGTTACATGATGATAAACAAGTTTTTTTTGGTAAGTGAAATTTTAACCGGGTACTTCGCAAAACACAATTACAAAAAAATATTTGAAGAAGCTATTAAGTGGAAAAGTTAGAGACGTAAAGAAGTGCATGTGGTTATGAAAATGTTTTCACTAAGCTCTGTTTATTCCTTGGCAGAGCCGTACTCTGACAGATTTCTGACCAGGAATTTGCCTTTCCCATAGATTTGGGGACTTTCTTGTATAGACTATCAATTATTATCTATCTTATTTTAAGGATAAAAATGGAAAGTGAAAAGTTCAAGAAATCAATTAGCTGGCTTGAATTTGCTGAGAAATTCAGGATAATGTTCATGGTAGAAATTTGAAAAGTAAATCAACATAATAAGAAGAGGTAAATTAGCCCAGAATGACAAAATGAAAGGATGGTTCCCATGTAACCTCATAAATTTCCTGCTCAATGCATTTCAAGTCTCTGATTTCTAATAAAATTCTCATGAGAACATAGTATTACTCCATAAAAACTCCTGAACTCTCCCCATGAGAACCAGCTGGTTTATAAGGGCACATGGGTTCACGGCTGTGGTTTATTTATTAAAAATTTCTCAGTAAATATATCATGGTCCACTGGATAGGCCCCCACGATTATGGGGAGGCCGTGTATCATTTCTGCTGTCCCCGAGTATTAAGAAAAACAAGAAGAAGCACGTCAAGAACTCTCTGGGCCAGAAAAAAACTGTAACCTTTTTTTTTTTCCCTAAAGAAAGTCCTATGTGAGCTGCTCCTTGCCATTACCTTTGACCTTTCAAAAGTCTGAAAATGCCTGCCCTGGTGGTTGACAGTGAGCCCTACAAGATGCAGAATGGGGGCTGGGTGTCGTCCTTGTCCCTGCCATGGAGCATGCCCTCCTGGGGACATAGGGCAGGCAAAGACTGCCACGTGGGTATTGCAGATTTTGAGGGATTTCAAATGTGTCATAGAAAAGATGTGCATTTATGTGGAGTCATGAAGATAATGAATTCATGGCTTACTCACCTCTCCCCACATGCCTACCACCTGGAAAAACAGTGCTCACTAACACACTGTGTTTTTAATCTGTGCCAAAAGCTTGGCTAAGTGTTACCCTACTTGACTGTACACACAATCCTATAACATGGGCTGTGTATCACCTTCTTCTTCTTTTTTTTTTGGTGAGGAAGATTGGCCTTCAGCTAACATCTGTGGCAATCTTCCTCTATTTCGTATGTAATATGTTGCCACAGCATGGCTTGATGAGCGTTGTATAGGTCTGCACCTGGGATTCAAACCCAAGAACCTGGGCTGCCAAAGTAGAGCATGTGGACTTAACCACTATGCCACCGGGCCAGCCCCATCCTCATTTTAGACAGAGGGAAACTTCACACAGAAAGGTCACATACCTCACAAGGGATGGAGCAGGGACTCAAACCCTGGAAGGTAGAGTGACCAACCAGACTTGAGGGAGGTCCACCCAAGGAGGGTGACGTGAACCATGGAGCCTGTTAAGGTTTTATCCTACTCACCCTGGAGCCTCTTCCAACTAACCCGCAGGTTCGGATCTACAGTTGCAAAGCCCTGGTAATGGGTTAAAAATTGTGCTGATCTGTTCACGGATGGGCCGCATCTGATCCTCACAGCAACCCTGCGAAGGAGACGAGCCCTCTGCCTTTTGTGCGACTGTCTTCCACTGGACTCTAGCACTCAAGAGCTAGACCTTGTGTTGTCAGCACTTGGTGTGGGGCCTGGCACATATAGGTGCTCAACTAAACGTTTCAACGGATAAGAAGAGGTTTTGGTCCATGGCTGAGAAGAGCATAATTAGAAAAATTTTTAAAAATAGACTTTGTTATTTTAGAGCAGTTTTAGATTCACAGGAGTATTGAAAGGCAAGTACAGAGATTTCCCATATACCTCCCTTCCCCCCACACACGCACAGCCTCCCTGACTACCAACATCCCCATCAGATGGCACATTCCTTACAACCACGAACCTCCATTGACACATTATCATCACCCTACGTCCGCAGTTTACATTGGGGTTCACTCCGGATGTTTATTCTGTGGGTTTGAACAAATGTTTAATGATGTGTATTCGTCATTGTAGTATCATACAGAGTAGTTTCATTGCCTAAAAATCCCCTGTTTCTGCCTATTCAACCGTCTCTCCCATCCCAACCACGGCGACCACCGATCCTATTACTGTCTCCACAGTTCCGTCTTTTCCAGAATGTCCTATGGCTGGAATCACACTGTATGTAGTTGTTTCAGATTGGCTGCTTTCACTCAGTCACATGCATTTAGGCTTCCTCTGTGTCTTTTCATGGCTTGATGGCCCATTTCTTTTTAGTCCTGAGTAATATTTCATTGTCTGAGAAGAGCACAATTTTCACCTCATAGAAATGAGAAGCACTTTCTAGATCCATAAAATGTAGACTAAACGCGGGAGCTAGGGATACCGTAGAACTCGTGTCACCTTTCACAGCTCACTGTCCCTGAAGAGACACAGAAAATGCCTTTTTTTCCTTAATGACAATAGCCATAGGAGCCTGATTCATGGGTCCCCATAATAAAAATGAGCCTATCTGACCCCGTTACATAAAACGTGGGCCAGGAATTGTGCGGGTCCAGCCCCAAGAATGAGCATGCTTAGCTTCGTGAGTAAGCCCTTGCTGGATATGTCATAACTGCTGACTTCAAATTTGAGGGCACTTGCTATTGACAATGTGAATTCGTATTTTCTTTTTCCAAAAAATAGATAACTGCATTTGAACACCTAATCATCTCAATAAACCCTTAAGCACAGGACTTCAACAAAGACAGGTCCTCCACTTGCCGGGAAAACGCAGCAGGTACTGCCTGTGTCAAGCCTTTCACCAGCCCATGTATGGTCCACATGGGGTGTTTGTGTGTGTGACTGCAGGCAACGAATTGAGACTCAACCAACCAAGCTCACACTGAAAAGGACAAGAGATGGAGCGTGATTCATGAGAACTGGCCTCCAGGAAGTGTGCGCGTCTATGCGAGGCTGGCAGTGGGCTGATGGAGGCACAAGGGCGCCACCTACTGAGCAGGGAGCCAAGTGCCAAGCTTGAACTAAGCTTCCAGTCCTCCGTGGTCCCCGATCTCTGTCCAAGATTGGGAATTATGTGAGATTACAACAGCATTAGGTCTTAAAGCAAAACATGAATGTGAAGTATGCTTAACTCCATAATATACGACTATTCAAAGAGCGCCCCAGAATGCCCTCGTTAGGAAAGTTGACAAGATTGATAGGTGCCTAATGCATTAATGTGTCAGTGCAGTGTTGATCTCTACACAGACCCGGCTCTTTGCAGCTCAGAATTATGGCTAAATATTATCATGAATTAAGTGAGAGAAGGAGGCAATTGCCCATTTATCTTAAACCCAAGTCAAAACTAAGCCAGATTAAGCTTTTAGCTGACAGTGATTTTAAAAAAATGACTTAAAACCCTGAAAGTTTTCATAACCTTACAAAATTCAACTTGGACCTTTGACCACCTAGCTCCATTACTCAGATTAATCACATTACTTCCTGACGGCTGGGGAAAAAATATATTGACCTTCAAATTCTTAAGACATGTGAGAATGGAAAGTGGGGTCCAGATATCCGAGTAGAACTTTCTCTTTGTGATTCACTTTGCAATGTGATTTAAAGCCAACACGTGATCTGCAACCTGAATTGACCCCTCTCCCTTCACTATTCCTAGATATTCTTGGGACAAGAGGGGAAGACCGGGACCTAACATTTTTGAAATTCCTGTTTTGTTTATCAGTTGTTTTGTAAGGGTCATTTTATCGCTGTGCGAACCTACAAGGCTGGAGAAGTGTCTCTGCCCCACCCGCAGGGCTCCATGGATGAAGTCTTTGCCCCTCCTGTCCTTCAAGGTCACAAGACCATGGCAGGATGCCCCAAAGTGATTTCATGGCTTTGGAGCAATTCCTGTAAAACTTCTTAGTAAAAACAAGCTTAAGCCTCCATCGGGGTGCCATATGCATTTGCTGTGGGATGAGTCAGTATCCAGAACATGGTGTGGAGGTGTCTCCCTTCTTCTGTGGTCTCAGGAAACATGGCTCTGACTATATAGGATGACTCTCAGACTCCACTCCAAGAGGGCAGCTAGGACGTCAGCTTGAGGGGTGACAGAATGAGCAGAGGACCTGTCACTGGGGTAAGACAGTGCATACCCATCGCCTCAGTGGCCACACATAATTTCATAATCTAGCCAGACCAACAAACAGCATCCTTGATTTTTAGAAGAGGAAACTGAAGCTCAGAAAGATGAAGTGATTTATGTACAATCACAGAATTAGCTAGAAAAAGAGCCGGAAGAGAACCCGGGTCTCATCTCCCGCAGTGATCTCCCCACCACGCTGTTTCCCTCAAAGGCGCAGGGAGCCCAAAGCTCATTTCTTCCTTGGTTGACCAAACTTCAGGTATGAGAAAAAAAAAAAAAGCAAATCTCTGTTCCTTTATTGAACGCTCCATCTTTTAAAGTAAGTTAAAGACAAAGGGTCGCCTTTAAATCCAAAATTTTCAGGTCAGAGTGACATCCTTGATTGACCTTGGTTGCTTGGTTGTTGTTTGTGTTCTTAGTTTCAGTTTAAAGAACACACTAAGCACAAAAGTCCGTGTTGTTTATTCCACCCCCAAGCTCATCTTCCCCCTCTGACCCTCCCCCAACTCCCAGCCTGGCCAATTTGTAAACAAATCCACAATGGGCTGAAAACCTGTCCATGGCTTACTCCAGCTGGAAAGAATTGTGTTCCACCAAGATTTAGATCCATTTATAATGGAAACCCTGACGGCAATGTTGTAATTACAGTCTCGCCATAATGAATGGATCCGTGTGGTCAAAGTCAACGATTTTCCATGGTATTTTTCCATGGGAAATTTCCTCCCTAAGAGATGTTAACTGAAAATCTGGATTATGGCTCTGACTTCAGAACAGGATCTCTCCTGATTGCGTGTAGCTTGAAGTCAACAATTCTATGGACCTTGTGGTCATGCTTAACAAGGGGGACATTAGTCAGATTGATTTCTGCAAGATTGATGGGGTGGGGGATGGGGGCTTAGTGGTATAGGAGCTTATTTCAGGAAACGCATTTTCTCCCAGATTTTTAACCGCAGAGGATTTTCTCTCCTCTCTGACCTGGTGGCTATGTTAAAGTAGAAACAGTGAATGGGGCTAATAGTATGAGTGTGACCAGTCATCCTTTCTGGCCTGGAACTATATGGTTTTAGGCCTAAAATCTCACCTTCCAGAAAACTGCCCAGTCCTGGGGACACCAGGGTAGTCGGTCATCCTAAACAGTATGGAAAGTAGAACGAGATTAGGGAGGACAGAAAAGTAACAGCCTATTTTAAAGAGAGCCACCAGACTGGGTTTTAAAACAAATCCTTTCTTGGTGCTTAAAAAACCCTAAGTGTAATCAGCATTTAGCTTGAGAACTGACTCAGGAAACAGCTCAAAAGGAATTTAAAAATTTCATGCTTGGCATAGCAGAATATAATACGAAAAACCAAGACCGCTGTTCTGCCTGACAATTTCTTAGGTTAACCTACCCCCTTGGTCTACGGAGCATGAGCAGAAACGAGGTGTTTCACGGGGGGTTCACACCCTCCCAGGGGGCTGCTGCCCAGGGCCTCATGGCTCCAGGACTTTCTGCAGGCAATTGACTGCTCTGTAAACACCCTCTCTCTCCTCTAGGAGAGAAGGGGCTCGGAGCCAACTAGGGGAGCCGGGTTTCCTGTCTCGACCCCACTCAGTGCCCTACTTTCTGGATCTTCTCTCAGGTCGCTCCAGTTGCCTTTCCAAGTGCTATGAAAACCCCCTACTTTTAGGAATTGATAGGCCGACTGGGGTTAAAAGACAGGAAGGAATGTAGACTCAAAACTAAGGCAGAAATGGGCAAGCCAGGACAGAAATACGGGTCATGGAGCCCCTGACAACTCTGTGGCATGGTGAGCGGAAATGTGTATCAAATCTCTTTTTTGACTTTTAAAAACAGAGACGTCAGGGTGTGACCATTAAACCTGTCTCTGGAGTTAGAGGCTCCAGGGTGTGCGTTGAATCTGTTTCTGGATTTATAAATCCACAGGTTTGGGGAGGTGTGCGTTGACTTTTCCTGCTGTTTTAAATTCTACAGCCATGAAGTCCAGGATCGCGAAACGGAGAAACAGGACACGAGTGAAATGGTGTCGACTGGCTTCGGTAGACTATTGTTCTAACATCGCCCATGGAAGTTGGGCTTGGCTCTGTGACTTGTGGAGGCCACACAACATGGGCAGGAGTGGCAGTGCATCGGATTTCCACCTGCCCCTCTGGGAACGTCTGACCAGCGTGTCCACTGCCATCTACCCCAGAATGGGGAGCACATGTGACTTTGACCTGCAACCTGAAGAGGAGCCCCCTTAGATGACATGCAACCCAAGTGAAAAATAATCACTTGCTGTTTTATGCCACTGAAGTGTTGTGCTCTTCGTTATGCGCCCAAAGCTGACAAATACACCTGCTTTTAAGGAAGGAACTTAAGCCAGGTACATCATATCTGATTCTTTTCCAGCTGTACCACTCCAGTATGTTACAAAACGGCTATAACAAGGTCTTCTAAAGTTGCCCTCTTTCCAGGCTCCCTTTTGATGTCATAAGCAGACAGAAGATGTAAAACTTCCACTTGTATTTTCCTGCTTCTTACCAGAAGTACCTGCAATGAACTATGTCGCTGTGCCTGCAAAAGCCAAGGAAAGATGTTAACCAGCAGTTCAGATCTTAAGTAACTAGATACATAAAAATAAATTTTATTTTCCTCTTGTTTGAGGGGTGAGGACAATGACAAAAAGCAGGCACACATTTAAAAGGACCACAGCTTGGGTGTTTGATATAGAGGCCAAGTGCCCCACAGCCTGTGAAGGATGTCCTGAGGGCGTCGTGTGGTGACTGTGGTTGTTCCCAGCTCCCCCAGGCTGGTCTCTCCACGATGCGCTGGCTCGGGGAGCTGATTTTGGAGACAGCACTGTGAGCTCCATGTCCTTGGCTCCCGGTATGTCTGGCCTGGCAGTACCAGCCAGGGAGTGGGGACAGGGCATTCATTTCCTTGACTTCCTCTTGCCAGGTCACTGTGGGTTGGCCTCAGTCCCTGCCAAGACCACAGCGCAGATCCCTTGGCGACCGGGCAGCAGCTAGTGCCCTCCTGGGTCTGATGGTGGCCCCCTCTCCTGCCCCCAAGGGCGTGACAGCAAGCTGGGGTGCTGCCCAGCCACCCCTCCTTGGTTTCTGCAACTCCACCCCACGACGTTGCAAACAGTCCCTTTATTAGACTTTCAATTACCCTATGTGAGCGTGAGAGACGCAGTCCCGTTCTGAGATGCCGGTGTCCTCCGCTGAAAAGGCAGGGGGTGGTAGTCGGTTTGCAAAGACCCGCTTCCAAAATGGTTGTCAAGAAGCTTTGCTTATGAGAGGTAAAATCCTTAGTCAGAAATCAGAAGAACCCAGACATTCAGCTCTACTTATGGGGTGTTTACTGAGTGCCTGCCACGGCCATCCGTCAGGCCAGGCCTCCCCAGGGCGAAGGGCTGGAGAAACGAGCCTGCCGCAAGGAGGGTACAAGGTTACGGAAAGATTTAGGGAAATAAATCAGCCCTGATTCCCAGCAGGTCCTGGAGAGCCAGGGTTGCCTGCTTTTGGTGGAAACGACAAGGAAGGGAATATCTGTATAGCCTGTAGTGTTTACGGAGACCAGAGTCCTTTTGCTGCTTCCTGTGTAGCTTCATGGGAGAAGAGGGAAGTGAGAGAGGCTTAAACAAATGTGAAAAGTAGGTGCCACAGCAGATATAGGACAAATGCTCTTAGAGCCATTACCATGGGAGCAATGCACGTTTCCGAGTTCTGAGTGACAGCCACTCCCTGAAGCAGTAGCGTCAATACACTAGAACAAACATACCCCACTTGACCTAACAAACAGCGGTCAAGCCACTACTGACATTCTGAGGGAGGAAAGAGCAGCCCTGACATCTGGGAGCTCGTCTGATGCCCGCAATCAGGCCACATGTTCTGTTGGCCACAAAAGATCTCACAGAATATCAGCTTCAATAAGGCCACACGGAGACCTGATAGATGAGACAAAAGTAGGGTCACCACGCAGCCTGCAAAACACCACACCCTTTGAGTCCAGAGGGTGATGCTGCTTCTTCCCCAATCACAGGTTCCTTCTCGCTCTAGTCTGCCCTCTCTGTAGATGAGGTTTATTGTGATACACGATAGTAGAATTGCACCCAGTCCAGAGGGATCCCCCACTTCCTCGGGCCCTCTCCAAATCCACCCAACCAAAGCCCAAATCCTCTAAGTCCTTCTAACACCCTCTTCCTGAGATGACCCCCTGGGTGCATTCTCCCTCACTGCCATGAGTCATAAACTCAGCTGGCTCAACGCTAGATGGTTCCTGGTGGTCCCTGCTTTGAGAGCATTGGCACTGCCAAAGTCTGCTGATGCTCCAAATGTCGTAATTGTGCTCCATGAATTCTGGCCACAGAGATTAAGACAAGCAATATAGTAATGCAGAACGCTCTGTCCAATAACTATCTTTCTCCAGGTAGCGGTGAGCATTCAGTCCGTGGCAAGCCTTCGGGGTAGAGGGGAAAGGCCAGACATCCTGGCTCAGAGAAGGCCCTTCTGTCCTGGGCAGGGTCACCAATGCTGCTCTCCACATCCCCCTGAGAAAGACTCTGTCCTTGACCCAACACTATTCAGGGTCCTCTGGACTTGTCACTAGGTCTTCGTCCTTATTCCTCTCTGCATTGTCCCATTTTAGCAGGAATCCTGCTAAGTGAATTTAACCAGAATCCCCTGCCCCCAATATTTGATCACCTTCTCTATCTAGTCAAATTCCTCATCCCCCATGACACCCAGCTGATGTCTGACCACCTGGCCCTGCCTTCAGCAAGATTCCCATTAAGTTGATTTAGCCTGAAGCTGCCAAGGTTTCCTCTTAGTAATTTTCCACCCACTGAGCCCACCCTGCTCCTTGGCTATAAACCCCACTTGTCCATGTGGTATCTGGAATTGAGCCCAGTTCAAAGCAAGGTCTCTTTTCCCCTATTGCAATAGTCCTCAAAAAAATAATTTTTTTTACTGTTTTAACTTCTTTCCAGCTCTGGTTTTCCTGATTCTCCTTCCATCAGGCTGAGACCTGAGGTCTCCTGGGGTGGAACGTCATGGATCTCCGTGGGCTGGATATTCTAGATGACTCAGAAACCTGGCTGGCGGGCGTCTGGAAGGGCGGGGAGGCTGACGTGCCGTCTTCAGATCCCCCTCAAGGCGCTGGTTTTGATCCTCTAGTTCTTTTCTTCTCCCTGAGGGAGGAAAACTCCCCAGAACAGACACTGAAGTGTCTGTGGCCCCCACTTGCTCTTGCACAGAGTCATGGGGTCAGGATCTAAAAGATCATTTTGAGCTGAATTTTCTAGTCCTTGAATTCCCTCCATGGCCTCTGGGCGAAGGGACTGTCCAGGCTTTCTTGGAGCACCTCCCATGAAGTATAAACCCCTTGACAACTGACAGGGCCTTTCCGCCTCCGGAGAACTCTGCCTTGAAGACCCCATGGTGAGCCCTGATGTGCTTCTCAGGGTGCGCGTCACCCTGCAGGAAAAACCCCAAGTCCTCTTCACAGGATGCCCCGTCCCTGAAGACGGCAACCGCGTCATTCCTGCCGAGTGAGCCTGCTGCCGGTTCCCGCAGCCCCGTCTCGGAGTGGACACAATAAGCTCACCAACTCGCTTCCCTGCTGAGTGTTTGCTGAAGCTCCTCGTGTGCAGCTGTGCTCCTGGTGACTAGCATTCAGTAGACGCTCAATAAGCACTTTTTAGAATTAAGTGTCCATTTATTAATCTTCGCTAACAAATATATGTATATTTTCTGATTGTTTTCACCACCTGGGGATACACTTTCTGGAGGTGTGAAATGAATAGGCCAGTGGAGAGGCCCACACGGGTCTACGGGCCCCTTAACAGCAAATAAACACCTTGGTTTCTGTCTACTTAGTGCCTGCTGTATACTCAATACCAATCTCTTAAATGAGTGAATGAAGAGGATTTCTAACCTGTTCAAGGGCTGGAAAGTTTGAAGAGAATAAGCAAATTCCCTGCATGCCACCTCTACCTTCCCCCATGACACAAAGGCCCTTCGAACAGGATATGCACTGTTGTGGACTGAACTGTGTCCCCTTGAGGCCCTAACCCCTGATGTCATGGTGTTTGGAGGGGGGGCCTTTGGGAGGCGATAGGTTTAGCTTGGGTCATGAGGGTGGGGCCCTCATGATGGGATCAGTGCCCGAGTAAGAAGAGACACCCCAGAGCTTGCTTCCTGTCTCTACCGTGTGAGGACACAGGAGAAGGTGGGCGTTTGTGAGCCCACCTGCAAAGGGGTCCCCCCAGGAACTGGATTGCTGGCAACTTGATCTTGGGTTTCCAGCCTCCAGAGCTGTGAGAAATCAATGGCTGTTGTTTAAGCCCCTGGCTTATGGTATTTTGCTATAGCTGCTTGAGAGCAGTGAGACACACACAAAGCCACAATTCATGGCTAAAGCAGCCGCGAATTAATTCACCCTATAGTGTCCCAGTGCCTGCTCCGTGCCAGGCCCTGTGCTGGGCCCCACAGAACTCAAAGCTAGGATTTGCAACCCTTCGTCAGCCTTCACAGGAGCACCTCATTCAAGTTTAGCAAGGGATCACCAGAGGGCAAACCCCTGAGGACCTGGGGCAGAAGGCAAGGTCATCACCAAGGGCAATGCTTGAGTTGTCTGGGAGGAGGAACAGGGGGTGGGGGTCTGCTAGGAGTCAAGGAAGAGGCCCAGGTTCCTGGTTGGGTGTGAGACTGGGTGGAGGAGGAACCAAGATGCTACAACAGTATCGGAGAGTAACCGCGGATGGTTTTCTGTTCTGTTAATAAACTCGCCTTACTCTGTATTTACCTGTTGCTCCAAAAGTGCTCAGTCACTGTCTGCTGTCTCATAGTGGCTTATGTGGCTGGCAATGGAGATGCTGATGGCCCGAGAGCTTCCTGCAGAAAATGTTGGCACATGCTCTTGGCATGTGCGAGTTGAGCTAGTTTACTCTACAGGGAGTAGAGCCTCTTTAGGGCTCGAATATTGTCCGTGAACCCAGAGGTGTTTGGAAAAGGTAAAAAAAAATCACTTCTTGGCCTTTTGGCTAAGATCAAGTGTGTAGAAAAGGTAAAATGGGCCAGAACCACATAGTACCCAGCCCTCCGAGTGTGGACTGCCTTCCACTTCAATGGTTTATGATTGGACTTCCTTAACGGGCTATGAAGGAAAGTTTACAGAAATGATGCAAATATTGATCCACAAAGAATGCATTTAAGGGGAAGAGTTAGAAAGAGAGAGCACGAGGGGAATGAGACATTAATTCCCCTCTCGTTGGATGAACTTAAATCACAGAGAGTATCTCACTCTGAATGGAGGAGGGAGCAGAGTTTGGAGATAAAGGAAATGGAGTGTAAAGTCAGTAGCAGAGAAGAGGGACCTGACACAGAACTTCTGGCTGCCTGGTGAGGAGGAGAACGGTGTGTTTAACAGAAAAATGTCATTTAGGCTCTGCCAAAGAGATAGAGGAATCTCAGAATGGAATCTGCTTAGATTCCAACTTAGGTTGGTGATTGTAAGCATACATTTCACATCAACTTCTAGAAAGGGCTTGTGTTATCTTAGCACAAGATTTCAGAAAATAATGTAGCTAGAATACATTAAAAAAAAAAAAGAGAGATTAATAACCACCTAGTGTCTGGAGAAGCTAGTTGCAATAAGAACCCAGAATAAAATAGGACAGTGGGTTTTACCTTTGAGTTTCCTAGAAGCCAGAGCAAAAGAAAAAAAAAAAAAGAAAAGAGAAAAATAGGGATGATATAGTTTGAGAAAGGAAGCAGGCAATTTTGACTGGAAGCCTTTCCTCCTCCCACACTGTGTCAAAGAACGTCTTCCATGCATACATGTGGTATGTGGTGTTCACAGGGGATCTTAGAAATAACCTAATCTGGTTCTCTCAGTTTTCAACTGTGCAGAGGTCGAGAGGGCCACGTGATGGACGCAAGGGCGTAGGTGTCAGCAGTGGGGTTCCTCCGATCTCGACACCCGATGGCCAGCTTGGCTTGCCAGCCTGCTGTGTTATCCCACCATACCTGAGGTCAGATGAAGAAATTGTCTCGGTCTTCAGCCTCCCCCTGCCGCTGCAGTCCCTCTGGGTGGACTCAGACTTGGGGGTGGACGTGAGGCAGGGCTCGTCTGCGGGCCTCAGGCTCACCTTTGGCAGTGACATCTGTGTGCCAGTGGTACAAGAAGGGTTCAGGTTCCTCGTGGGCTCCTGCTGCTCTTCACGCTCTGAGCCACCTGGGGCTCTGCCAGGGAAGCCTGCACTGGGGCGGAAGCTTCTACCTGGGCCCGTGCCAAGGATTGGGCTGATGTTGGCCATGGTGATGGGAAAGGGCTGAGTGGCCGGCCGAGGGGAGGCAAGCTGGGCAGGGCTGCCCTTTCCCAACCTCCTCCCAGAATGGAGTGTCTTTGGAGTTGCCTGCCCACCTTCTGGGTTTGAGCACGTGACCTCTTCAGTGGTGGCACTGAAGTACAGCGTGGAGCTCTCCTGTCCTTCCCCTCCTCTCGGCTGCCCACTCGCACCCCTGCCCCATGTCCCAGAACCAGCCCCGGCTCCTTCCTTGGGGCTGCCCTCCTGTGGTGTAGCTGACAGCTTCTGGGCGGGAGCATCATCATGGTTATCACTGGCAAAAGAGACATAGGTTGAGGTTTCCAACAGGTTAGAGGCTGCTTTCGGGATGCCTTGAAACTCAGAGCCTTTCTCTGAGGTCAGGAGGTCATGGGGCAATGATGGGAGCTCTTGCTGGGAAAACGGGGGCTTCTGCTGCTGGTAGTGTTGGCTCAACTGCCATGCAGGGGGACAAAAACATCCAGGATAGTTGTCTCCAAAGGCTGCATTGATCTTAGACACATTTCCTGTTTTTAGGGCAAGTTTCATCAATAGCCAGTGGTGGTGACCTAGGAAAGAGTCTTCCCCAACAATCTGGCTTTCCAGCCCAGCCTCTGGGGGGCCCCACTGTGGACTGGGGGGCTTCCCCAGACTTGTCAGCTCATAGCCTTCCTCGTGGCTCTCTGCTGGGCTCCCCGGCCTCTCCCCAGCTGGAGCCGTGGCCCATGGAGAAGATGCTCTCTCTGCTTTATCACCCCCTGAGGTGTCACAGGACTCCCTTACAAAGCCCTGACAGATGTCTGTGGATTTAGGATGTAGCAGGCTGTAGTAAATTACCAGCGAGACACTGCCTGAAAAAGAAGCAGCAAAGAAAAGAGAGCACAAGTTATGTTCTTCGAAGTCCTGTATCTTCCCTGTTGTTGGCAGAATTCTAGGTTCTGGAATTGTGAGTAGAGTAATACAGTTTGGGATCCCAAACAGGGCTCTTGTTGGAACATTGGAACTGGATATTTTGGGGATAATTTAAGAAGCCTCCAGCTTCCAGAAACTGACAATGTTTCGTACTTAAAAATGCAATAATAAAGTTTAATCCTATTGATTCTGTGTCACTTCTTCTTTTAGGGTGGCTCCAACTGAGCACTCTGGATGTGTATGTGGGTCCGTGTGTGCATGTGTGTACAAGCGTGTGTATATATGTGTGAGATGTTTGATAGAAATTCTAATTGTACTGTCAAACAACTGGACACAAATATTCAGCATTCAACAATCCACACATTGGTTTAAGGAGGGGGAGGTAAGGAATAATCTCAAAAACAAGACCCAAGCAGAGGTTAAACATTTCCATCAAAAATCTCCTATCAAGGAATTTCCATGAGCAGCAACAACACTTCCTCTGTGCATAAACATCTTAATCACATTGTTGTCAGTTTAATTTATTTTGATCAGAAGTGTTGACTACGGCAATAATTTCTTTAACAGAGCATTCCAGTAATCCTCCCACGTTATTTCCAGTTTCCTGTTGTACTGGAGCAAGTGCCTAGTGCAGGGCGCTTGTTATAAACAGCATGAAACCTGAAATAGGCTGGGGGAAAAGCCTGGGAGGGGGCCGGGAAGTCCCAGCGCCACGGGGCTGGAAGGAACCTGACCGATCCCCTCACGTCCTCTTCTAGTATCTTTGGGGGATGAGGAGAGGGGGATAACAAAGTGGGCCTCGAACTGGGAAACGAGACGGAATTCCTGCATGATGCGTGTTGGCTCTGCAGCCTTTGCTGCTCAGACCACTTCTGGACGTTGTTCTGAAGGCTCACAGTTGCTGGTGAGAGAGACGTTAGAGCCACCCAAGGCCAAGAAAGGGGAACTGAACAAGTCCCAAATACATGTATTAAGTGAAGAGAGACTTTCTGCAGGGCTACATCATTTGCAGGGCTCTTGGTTGCAGCCTGAGGCTGGCATGCAGTAGGTACTCAATAGATGTTGGTCAAGGAAACCCAAGATGTGAGCCAGAGCTGCCTGCTTTAATGCTTGTGCTCCTTTGACTATGATTCACACAAGATCTTCCCGCTGAGGACTCCCTCCAGGGCCCCTTGGGAGTCAGGGGTTCAGGCAGCTCCAGGAAGCAGAGCGGCAGGACCAGCAGGCCTGGCTCCATCCGAGCCCCTCTGGCCGTCTGATCCCCGGGTGCTGAGCCTTGGCCCCCAGCTTCCACTCCCCGCACCCTGGGTCAACAGGTTGAGAATGAAATCACCTTCTCGTTGGAACTAAACTAGGTGGGGAACCAGCGCAGTGGCTCCCAGGAGTGCGACACACTTTGGGAATGGTGTTGGACATCTGGATTGCAGTGTTAAAATGTGTAAAGCAGCTGGGGGAGGATGTTTTTACTCCCTACACTGCAGTGCCCGCAGGCCTCAGTTATGCCTCCCGAGAACTGGAACATCCAATGAGCGGTTAGTCTTCCCAGCCAGCAACACCCTTCATCCCAAGTGTCATGTGCCCCAGGCCCTCAGGAAGGACCGATGAGAGGTGCCAGGAACACTCAGACTGATGTGCCAGGTGAGTGAGTACAGCTGGGTCACACCTGGGCAACCAGTGGCCTCAACTTTCTCTGTCATTTACACACACACAAGCAGCTTAGAAATCAGCGCCCTGCTATGCAAACTAATATTTTAAAAAGGACTACCAGATGTCCTTCAACAAACAGGCAAATGGCTAGTGAACTGTGCCTCGGCACCATGGAACAGCACTCAGCAATAAAGGAAGGGACTGGTGATGCCCAGGACAGCCCGAGTGAACCAGAGAATTACGCTGAGTGACGAGCCAGTGTGCAGAGTTTACATAGTATACGATTTCATTTGTGTGACACTGTTGCAGTGACAAAGTTATAGAAATGCGGAACAGATTGGTGGTTGCCAGATGTTAAGGAGGGGTTGTGAGGAAGCAGGTGTATTTAAGAGAGAGTAACAGGAAGGGTCCTATGGTGACAGAAATGTTCTCTCTGCATCTTGAATGTGTCAGGCAATATCCCGGTTGTAATACTGCGTTATAGTTTTGAAAGATGCTACCATTGTGGGGAACTGGGTAATGGACACAGGGAGGCCTCTGTATTCTTTCTCTCCTTTCTCTCTCTTTTCTTCCTCCCTCTCTCTCTCTTCTTTCTTTCTTTCTATTTCGCCTCTCATCCTTTCCCTCCCTCCTTCTTCTCCTCCTCCTCTTTCTTCTTCTCCTCTCCCTCTCTCCTCTTTCCCTCCCCCCTCAATCTCTCTCTTTCTCTTTCTTTCATGCACAATTTTGAAACATTTTCCTGTTCTTTATCTCAGCACCTCCCATGGATCCTCCTAAATCTGGCTCTAGTTATCTCATTGGTGAATTCTTTTCATGCATTTCCAGGTACATCAGTTGTCCTTGTGTCATTTCTCACTTTATACTTTTTAAAAATTTTTTCAAAAACATTTATTGATGTGGATATCTCTGTATTATTTATTAAAACCACAATTATCTAAAAAAAAAAAAGAACTTAATTTGAAAAAAGAAGGGGCTGACTCAGCCCTAATCTCTAACTAGCTATGTCTCGTGCCATCTACTGAAGAAGGTCGGAGCTTAAAGCCCAGGTGGTTTGTGGCTCTCGAATACTTGTCTTAAGGCCACAACGTATGAATCTGCTCTGTCCCCTGAATAGTCTCGTCATCTCTCTAAACCCTGGGATGCTCAAGGTCATTTCCTTTCCCTGGTCAGCTACTTGCAAGGGTACTCTGACCCCCAGCTGCCATGAGCAATAAAAGGACTCGAGTCCCCTGACACCCATTTCTCTGAGTCAGGCCCCAGGCCTGTCCAGGTGGTGCCCACCACATCCACATGCCTAATTCGGGATGCAAGTGACCAGAGGGCTTTGGGGTGAGGGTGGGCGCTCAGGCCCATGAGTCATTGCAGATGACTGAGGAGTCTCTGCACTGGATGGTGTTTCAGAAGGACGAGGACCCTCATGAGGCATTTGGGTGGCTGTCCAGGACAGTCTAAGCACAAACCCGCAGAACGAGAGGCTGTGGTCGCTGAGCCAGCACGTGCTGGCTTGGGGCAGTGCAGGCTGACAGCAGGGGCGTTTTTTATTTTTATTTTCCAAGTGTAGGAGAGGAATTCCCTTTGGAGCTCACATCGATCTTAAGCCAGGTTAACACAGTGGGGACAGCATCGACCCTGGAGTCCTTCACTCATTTATTCATCCATGAAACGTAACTGATTATCTAACACTGCCAGACAGCGTGCTAGATGCCTGAATTGGAGCTGGGTGCAAATCCCAGCTTTGCCACTTAGAAACCGTCTGATCCTGTGGGACGTTACTTGACTTCCTCTGTGCCTCACCTTCCTCAACTCTAAGTTGGGGGCAATTCAGCACCATCTCCCAGGGTTCTTGTTGACACACAGCACGTGGTGCAGTGTCAAGAACATCCCTGTTCTGCACCCCGATGCCAGGATGCTGAGGTGGGAAAGGAGAGAGCAGTCACGTCTTTGACTCCTGCCATCGCTGCAGGGACGAGCCTCGCCCATGAGGCATTTTGGAGAGAAGTGGACAGCCCCTGCTTGCAGTTCTGAGCACAGCCAACACGACAGACAGAGGCTGAGTTCAGCTTCTCACGCTCCGGTGGGGATGGCCTTGCCGCCCACGGTGCAGCGAGTCCCATTCCTTGGTCTCCATGTAACCACTTCTGAGCAGTTTCCTACCCTTGGAGCTAGTTCAATGTGAAGAAACAAATTGGGGGCAGGGAGGGAGGGAATGAGAAGGCAACACTGGGTCTTACCAATCAGAAATCCAGACAAGGCTCCTGCTGTGGTCCACAGGCTGGTCCACGAGGCCCCCTGGAGAAAGTCAGTGGCCAATAGCAAAAGGATGACGTTCTCCAGCAGCATTATCTGTGGGACCAAAAGGAGAGTCACCACACCTAGTCAGGTGCACCTGGCCTCAGGGATGCTCCCCGTCCTGCAGTGTTGTGGGCTCTGTCCTCAGTGCCCACTGGGGCTCCCATGGCTGACCGGGCCCTCCTAGAAGCAGAGTCAGGGTCCAAGAGAGTTTCTCTGGCACAGGGGGATTCTCCTTGTGCTCAGTGCAGCTCATTAAAATGTCTGCAGAATATAAAATCACAGGAAATGTAAGCACAGAGCCCATATGGTACGGTGGCTCCCCTTGATGAGTCAGATGGGGCTGAGAGAGGAGACTTTTACTTCCAACTTTATATATTCAAATTCTCATGTTAACTGGACCCATATACCAGCTTTGTAATACAGTAAGTAAAATTATCTGCAGAGCTCACAGTCCCACTGAATTCCTATAAGTTAGAGTCACAAACTTTCATAACTTTAGAATCTTTTTTTCCAAATATTTGCCTCTTTAAGGGTAGATTTGGCCTGTGGCCACCAGGTGGCACCAGGGAGAGAGCGGCTGCTGGGTGCACATGGATCCTCCCTCTGCATCCAAAATGGCCACAGCTCTTCTAGAAGGCTCTTTGCACCTCCCATCTAGGCTGGCTTATTCACCTTGGTTTCCAATTTTTAACTATAAAACTATATTTCTTAAAATAAGTAAAGAAGCTGGACATAATTCAAATATGATATATTTAAATACTGTGTATGAGACATTAGAAATACTAAGTTGTAATACTGTTATGCTAAGTCTTTGAAAGCTTTGCCATGGTCATTCATTGGCTTCATTTTAACTCTAGAAAAGCCGAATTAGGAGAGAATTAAAAACGTTACTGGCAGCTGCTTAACAATCCTGAGAATGCCTTTGGGCTCCGGGTGGCAGTGTTTCAAAGGTTCAGCAGGCTTTATTTCCAGACTAAAAGGCATTGCCCAGCAGCCCAGTCCATAAAACTTGGAGTTGTTCTCATCCTACTCCTTAAGTCAACTACATTTTATCAGCTGTCTGGTCCTGCTGATTCCAGTTCTTAGGTTTGTCTTAAATCCATTGCCTTTTTCCTGTCCTTACTGCCATTTTCATAGTTCTGATCCTATGACTTCCTGTCTGAGTCCTACCATGTTCTCTGTCTTCATTCTCTCTCTGCAATCTCACCTCCACACCATTGCTGGGTGATCTGTTTCACCTGCAGATCACACCTTGTCATCACTCCTTAACATGCCTCAAAATAGCCCCATCTCGACTCAGGATCAAGTCTGCACTCCTCGACAACACAGGCAATCCTATTTACAATGTATCGCAATTTTCCTTTCCAGGGTCATTTTCCAACATGCCGCCCCCAAAATGACTGTGATATGTTGTGTAGCAACTTGACTGGGCTAAGGGATGACCAGAGAGCTGGTAAAACATCCCTGGGTGTATCTGTGAGGGTGTTTCTGGACGAGATGAGCATTTGAATTAGTAGTCTGAGTAAAGATCACCCTGCCCAGTACGTGTGGGCATCCTCCAATCCTTTGAAGGCCTGAATAGAACAAAAAGGCAGAGGAAGGATGAATTTGTTCCCTCTCTTCTTGAGTTGAGACATCCATTTTCTTCTGTCCTCAGACATCAGAGCTCCTGGTTCTCCGTCCTTCGGACTGGGGCTAATCATACCACCAGCTTTCCTGGTTCTCCAGCTTCAGAAGGCTGATCTCAGCTTCCATAAACAGGTGAGCCAATTCTCATAATAAATCTCCTCTTACATATCTCTATATATCCTATTGCTTCTGTTTCTCCAGAGAACCCTGACTAATACAATGACATTCCACCGACAAAGACTCTCCTGGACCAAACTTGACTCAGACAGGCTCCCCCAAGCCCTCTTCTTGTGAGGCCTCAACCTGCAGACTCTTAGCCCAAATGATTTCATACCCCCTCCCCATGCACATTAACAGACTTGAACAAACACTAACATAGTTTCTAACAGCTCAAGGTCGCATCCCTAGGATGATGACCGTAGCCCCAGTTAAGTTCCTGTCTAAGAAAGCTCGACGCTGCCAGGAAAGTTTATTTGTTCCATCCAAAACCTGGTAAAAGGCAGATAAGCCTGGAACCCTCTCTCAGGGCACTTACTTTAGAACATTTGTAGTTATAAGTCCTTTCTCTGCCCCTTTGAGATGTAAATTCTCTCCCATCCAGAACTGTCTTCTCAAGGACCTGAGAACCACGGAGACGACTCTCCCAGCTCGGTGGGCACCCTGCTCTATAGGAAGACAGGAGAAGAGTGTTTCCTCTCCCAACAAGCGCCAGTTAACAACCCAGATGGTACAGTCACACTAACCACCTCCTTTCCCACTTTTGGTAAACTTCCACTTCCCTGAGTCTGCTCCAGCCCCCGACATCCCCCGTCTGCCTCACTCATTCTCCCTCTAAAGCACCATCTCCTCTGCACAAATTGAGGTTGGGGTCAGTTCACGCTGGACCCTCTTCCCTGCTGCAATTGGCTTAATGAACTCTGTTTTCTTCGCCTTTAACGAGTGTCTGGCTTTGTCTGTCTTTGTCCTGTGCACACTCACTTTCTTGTAGACTCCTTGATACTTCATGGTCTTTATTTTCCTTCTGTAGCTTTGCCTGAAATGCCTCAGCCACTCCCCACCATGCTCGACTTCGGGCAAACCGTACTCGTTTCCCAAGACCCAGCTTTTGTGAAGCTTTCCCTGACCTTCCTCTTTCGGCCTCTCATATTCCTGCAGGATTTTGATAGCAGCGTTTCTCTGGTCACAGTGGATCCATTCATGTGTTCATGCCTCTGTGGCCACCGAGACACGACCTTCTCACACTGGCATCTGAGTCTGTTTCCAGCACTCAGAGGAAACTGGAGATGCATGTTTAAGTGAATTATCAATGACGAGCGAAGGAGATTAACCGAGCTTTCTAGGACATTCACGAATTACCCAGAGGCTGGTTTCCACCTCCGTGAAGGAGGACGTGAGTATAGCTAAGGGCTTCTCAATTAGGCGGATCGTCAGCGCTGCCCAACGCTCTTTCCAAAACACTGGTCCAGGGCCCACTCAGACCTGCTGGGTCAGCATCGCTGATGAGGTGCCTGAGAATTTGTACGTTGGAAAAGCGGGGCTGGGCCCTGACAATGTAAACACATTCAGTCCTCATCCTCACACAATGAGATGGGCGTTATTATTTCTGGTTTTCAGATGTGGAACTGAGGCTTGGTGAGGCCCTGTGACTCACCCAACATCACAAGTCCTCTTTGGTCTGTTGGCCCCATGGCCCGTGTGGTCACTAAGCTAGACGGGGCTCTCCTAAAACTGGGAAGTGACCATGCCACCCACCTTCTCCGGAATAGGAGCTGCATGTCCCCCTTATGTTCGTTCACGTCTCCGTCCTGGAGCGCCTGCTTCCCGGAAAGTCTCTGCATCTTTTATGATCAATAATGGCTGCTATTTGTCAGGTATTTTGTGCCAAGTTGTTTATTATTTTATTTAATCTTCACAAGGACCCTCAAAAGTAGGTGGATCTTATGTAATCATCACAGGAATGCGGAGGAGGGGGCAGCCTCATTCCTGATGTATGGATGAAAAAATAGGTTCAGAGAGTTGACATTCTTGGCCAAATCAGTCGGTACTGGTGGTCGGCAGAGCCGGGGTTCCGATGCAAGCTTGTCCGATTCCAAAACCTGTGCTCTGAGGCCCTGGGCTGCATCTTCTCTCCTGTGCCGTTTGCAATGCAGCTTAGCTTCCACCTTCTGGTCAACAGCGTCTCTGGTCATCCCAGCGGGAAATGATATTCACCATATTCCCCTGTGTTCTAGGCATGTTTTCCTCTCCCAGCATTTACCCATGATTGGCATTGTTTGTTGGTTATTTGCGTACATAGCTTCTCTCTTCTACTGGACAAGAAGCAACCCGAACACAGACATTATATCACCCTTGTGGTTCTCACACTGCTGGGACCCGGGCTGGAACTCAATAACAATCAAGTTGATTAACAAGGACACTGTGTATATGATACAACGGAGTAGAATCAGGATTATATTTATCAGGTGGGCTGATACAGACAGTGTCTAAGAAACATCGCCAAATCTGCCAGTTTTTGCTGCGGTAACCATGTGGAACAACTGCTTGTCAGGTTACTATTTCCAGAGTCCATCATCTCTGTTCAAGACTATAATTCCCTCTAGAGTTTTTCCTAAACTAAGCTATCCCTTCTTAATAGATGTGCATGCACAGGCGCACACATGCACATGCACACATGCGCGTGTTCTATATATACAGTAAAGGTTGGCATTAAAGAAGGCCACCATCACTACTTGCCGTGTAGAACGTGGCCATCCTATTTCTGGAAGGGCTGTCCCAGAAGTTGAGGTAGCAGAAGACGTACACGGCTCCCACAAGCAGGTTGAACAGCCTCCAGTGGCAGGTGCTGTCGATGATGTCACTCTGTTGTGCCACCAGCCAGAAGGTCATCACCAGCCAGTGAGCACCTGGAGGGAGGAGGAGAGTCAGGGTCCACACGGGGAGATGGGAGGAGGTTGGGCAAGGACCCAGAAACCAGGGCCTTGTGACCCTCCTCTCTGTTCTGACCGCACCTGAGTCAGCATCCGAAAAGAGATTCAAGGGGCACGAAGAGCAACACATTTGATCTTTGCACGGATTATCTCATTCGATCCTTATAAAGGGCAGCTGACCTAATTTGGGGATGAGCAAACAAAGACTAGCTTCCGTAACACTCACCAAACCTTACGGACTTGTGCCCTTTGAGATCTGGAAACTGTCTGACGAGGCAGTTCTAAACTGATTGCCCCATTTTTTTAAATTGCTGCTGCAAGAGCTAAAACCCTCTGCGTCCAAAGGAAAGATCTGGATGTGGCCCAGCTGTAATTTTTATCCCTTTATTTTAAGATGAATAATATCATACTGGAGTTTGATCTGAATTAAAAAAAATGAATATAAAAGTAATCTCTCTTTAGGAGCACTATTTCTTTCAAAAATTTCTCCTTTCTATCAATAAATGTATTAATGTTGGCTTTAGGCTCCAGGTCTAAAGATTTCTAATGCCTCCAGTTCTCCTTAAACAAGGGCACACTGTTCCTTCTTGCAGAGCGTATTCACTGATGGCCAGAGATTCCTCTCCTTGGCAGGGACTACAGGCCCCTCCAGGGCTCTGCACAGTCAGGCAGACTCCTTGTCCTCACCGTTCACATCAGCAAGTGACTGGACTGAGGACCGAGGGAGGGTTTGGGTTCAGTGGAGACGTCCTATTTGAAACAGGCCAAAATTCAGCATCCAAATGAAATGGAGGGCTTTGGGAGGCTATGAGCAATATCACATATATAGTGAATACTTTCGTATTGAGTCAGGGTAGGTGGGACCCTAAGCCTCCCTCCCGTTTGAGTGACAGCCTGATTTCAGAAAAGATTTCAGCCTGAGATACAGAACGCAGTCTTCCGAGGAGCCCTCACAGCAGCCAAAGCTGTGCTCCGGAGCTGGCTGGGACTTTGAGGGTTGGGCTATAAGCTATGGGCATGTTTCTCCAAAGAGAGCCACCAGAGGTTCCTCCCCTCCTTGCGCATCCATGGGGGCTGGAGTCCACTCCTCCAGGCCCTTGAATCTGGGCTGGCCGTGACTGCTTTGATGGATGGAAAACAGCAAAGCCGTGCTGAGCCAGGGCTGGGCGAGCTTCAAGAGGACTGGCAGCTTCCACTTCCCTTCTCTTGGAATTCTCAGCAGCCATGTCCAAAGTCCAGGCGACTTTGCAGAAGAGAAAGGGCACAGGAGGGAGTCTGGGGCACCAGGCGTATAAGCAAAGACGCCGTCCATACGGCCAGCACAGGGGGCCTCCCTGTGAATCCAAACACCCATGTGAGGTCCCCTAACAAGAACCCCCTACAGCCCATTCATACATCAGAACCAGGATTGATGGTCATCAGTGGTTATTTTAAGCCGTTAAGTTCTGGGGTGGTTGGTTACACAGCAATAGACACCTGGAGCTCAAGCTCGGCTTACCTCCAACAACTAAAACCCAGATGTGGTAAGTTTTGAAGAACAGAACCAGACTGAGGACGCGGGCTGCCAACATGCCCATCCTCCAGAGTTGCTGGCAGAGGAGGGCAGCCCACGGCATGGAGAGGCGACCTGGCTTCATGGAGTCCATGGAACGAGCATAGCACACCAGGGCCCAGGACAGCGCGGACCAGGAGCACAGGGCGCTCACCCCTGGAAGGGAAGGGACAACAGTGTTTGTGGGACGTCTAACCTCTTATTAAAAAAACCTGGCTTTACGAAGGGTATTCCTCACCAAGGCCCTGATGGGCGGGTAACACAACTCTGTGTACAAACGCGCACGACTATGTGCGGGAAGAACCGAGGACGAGCAGGAGAGGCTGCCTCTGCAAACTGCAGTGGGGGCTCTTCCGCAGCGAGCGAGCTGGGCTCTTCCCTTGTCACCCTTTAAGCAGAGCGCCTGAGTCTCTGCTCCTCTAAGCCCTCCTGTCTCAGCTCTGTTATGAAGAAGCAGGTCCTCGGGGCTCTGAACGTGGTATTCCATCCCAAATGTACTTTGCTGTTCAACCCATCGGAAGGAGGTTTAATCAAAGAACTCAAACCAGAACATCAAACTGTACCAGGCCCATTGAAAAGGATGGATGGACGGACAGCCAGGACTCTCAAGCATTTAACTTATGCACATATCAGTGTGGACACTCGGCAAAGAGAGAAGAGAAGAGAAAGGAGACGAGGGGAGAGAGCAAGAAGCGACTGAGAAAACGAGAGAGAATGAGCACGCCCACGCCCTGGAGAATGTGCGAGCCCGGGACACACATCTGCTGGGCCCTGAGCTGCTCAGTTTCCGCACGGTTCTCGAGGTGTAAGCTTCTGGCTGCGCTGAGTTACTCAAGTTACTAAAGTTGCAGAAAAAACAGACACATTGATCTTGCTGAGAAGCAGAGTGTGGCACCTTCTCAAGGTGTTTTCAGGGTCATTTGAGCATCCACAACTTCTACCTTAGGGACTGACTTTGGAATCCAAGCCCCAGGAAGGAAGCCCCCTCACTCTGAACTAATCGCCACAAACGGAAGCTAATTTTAGCCATCCCCTTGCACTAGTGAGCTCGGGCTGCCCTAATTCTCCCAAGCAGAGGAAATCTTAGATTGTGGGGTTTTGATAAATAAGGCACTCGTTTCTGTCCCCCTTGAGAAGTCGGACTGTCTATGCTCAGTGGTGGAAGTCACTCACCTGGCACAACATCAGTGAAGTCCGAGGCGAGAAAAACATACGTTTGAAGCAGCAGGTGGGGCCCAGCCTGAAGCAGGGCTTCTAGGAGGCGGAGGGCTGACAGGTCGGCCTCCTGCAGCAGCAGCTGGCCCCGGTGGGAGGCCTTCCACTCCTTCGACAGAACAGTGCATGCGGCGTCCCAATGCCTGAGGAGGAGCAGGGGTGACATGGTGCTGAGCCAGAGGGTGACAGCTTAATTAGGACACCGCCCCTTTCCTGGCTTACCATTTAGAGACCTTTCGCATTCTAGAGAATAATCTGTCTACACACTAGAGTCTCTGAGCTCTGACTCTAGCCTGAAGATGCCAGCTCTAATCCAAATGCTGCCATGGGTAATCCTGCTCAGCAAGGCCTGGCCGGCGGACTGGCAAGCTGCCCCCGTGCGGGAGGCGGGCCAGGAGCTGAAATGAGGCTGAAGCAGACGCAGCTTAACAGGAGGGGCTAGGTTTGCAGGGGGCCAGTTGCCAAGCAGCCCCCTACCGAAGGGCCAGGCCTGCACAGGTGGACAGCAGGAAGGGCAGGCCACTCTTGAGAGTCTGCAGGACAGGGCTGGCCGGGGCCACAGGGACACTCCAGTGCCCCCAGGCTGGGTGACCTCCCCACGGTCCAGGGAAGGGAACCAACACAAGAGAGAGAAATTAGGAAATGTTCTTGTTTCATTCCATTTCTCATAGGCCCGTCCTGGGAACCTCTCCTGAAGCTCCCATCTTATGAGAGAGGTCTCGAAGGTGCCATGGGCCACCAGCCTGTGCCCTCTGAAGGCTCGGGTGGCAGAGATGAAAATGAGGCCACTCCCCAGGCACTGTGCACTTGGGGTTTCCACAGCAGATGCCCCCCTCACCCTCCAGTGTCCCCCCTCGGTCTACGCCTGAGCCAGGACGGGGCGATTACTACACCTGCCTGCACAGGCGCGGGCGTGCCCACAGCCTCCATTTGGGATTGCAAACTTCCATGTCGAACAAGTTAAGAAAAACTAGAAATCATTTTAATTTAAGGACTCCTGAATCAGAGCTGGATGCCCCTTTAAAGTCACCTGGAAAGCCCCCTCCCGAAGGACCCCCGAGGACTCTGGCTGTGCAGATGACACACCAAGCTCCGGTCTCTGCTAACACTTCTACGGCCAGAGCAGAAGGGGGTCCTCTTTGAAACGGCTTTATTCACGGTACCCAGGGCCCAGGAAAGACACGTAAGAAAAACAGTGCTCCTTTCTCACAATTTGGAGTTGTGGAGTGAACTGACTTCTTACTGAGTCTTTGAAGCTGTGATCTCTGACACAAACGTCATGTTAAGAAAAAAAATATGAAACCAACAAGTGTAATCGTGACGGTAGGTTGCAGCTTCGCTTTCGGTCTTGAATCATTGGTTCAATTGCTCGTCCCTCTTCCTACCCTCCCGGAAGCCTCCATTCCTCCCATATGCATTTTTATTGGGCTTCTTTTCCCACCTCGGAGACTGTAGAAGGTGCAAATGAAATGAAAGATGTTCCCTGGAAGCCCAAGATTCAGTCGTGGAAGGAAACCATACACATGTGAAAAGTTTGAGTAGGAAGAAAAACACGTTAAAGTGAGCAGCTTTAACTCACTTTAAGGGAGTTTAAGGGGAGAGTGACGGGGTGAGACCCAGGGAGAGGACAGTGTGGGCAGGGAAGCCTTCCTGGGAGAGGAGGACAGGCCGTGGAGCAGAGCCTGAGGGAGCAGGTGTGGGTCCAGGGGGTCAGTGGGGCAGGACGAGGGCCTGAAGTGGAGGGTCCAGGCTGGGGACAGTGAAGGGGAGCCGGACAGTAGAGGCCTCTGTGGGTCTAGTGAGGGGTTGGGGTTCCTTCCAGGAAATGGAGAACCAGGGGGATGTGACTCAGCTGGTTTTCCTGATCCCACTGCAGAGGGAGGGATTCAGGCTGCGAGGATGGAAAGCCGTCAGGGCGCCCAGGTGAGAGCTGAGGCGAGATGGGGGGGGGGGGGATGGAAAGGAAGCAGTGGTGTTGGGTGGTCAGCAGCTCCCGTCAAATCCCATCATCGTAGTTGCTGCCTCATTCGGGTCCTCACAGCTCCTGTCTGGACTTCTGCCCGCCTGCCTGGCCCTCAGTCTCTCCCACTCTGCTCCATTTCCTTCTCCCTGCAGCCATCTCTCGAAAGGCCTAATCTGAGCAGTTTATCTCCTTGCTTAAACTTTCCAATGGGTCTTTGACACATGGAGGATAAAACCCAAACTCCTCACCTAGTACACAAGTTCCTTCACGGTTGAGCCCAATCTATCTCCGACCCCCTTCCTCTCATCTAGAGCATTCTTACCCTACACCCACATTACAACAAACTTCTGGTTTCCAAGCACACCATTTCCAGCACGCCTTTCTGCCTCTGTACCAGCTGTGGCTGCTTCCTGGGTCAGAAGTGCCTCCTCCTCCCTCGTGGATGGAAATCCGCCTCATCCTCAGCCTTCACTCAAGGCAGTGGTTCCCAAACTCGAGTGGACATCGGAGCCACTTGGAGGGCTGCTCAGTACAGGCTGCTGGGCCCCAGGCTCTGAATTTCTGATGAGTGAGACAACGTCTGCAGAACTAGGAGAAGTTTGCTGTGACGTGATGTTGGTTGGTCCAGGTGCAGTTCGACAACGCATATCTTTAAGGAGTTCCCCTGGTCCATGATGTGGATGCCGGTGCAGGGACCGCTCCCGAAGGCAATCCTCGGGGCACCCCCAAGACTGCAAACTTCTTCGCTTTGTTCTTCTGAGTTCACTGTTTTGTTCCCAGTTCAGCCTCAGATATTGTATCTTAATCATGTGTGTCTCCAGTCCCTTCGGTCACACATAAGTTAGTAAATGTGGACAAATCAATTCTGAGCATAAGGAGGTGTGTTGAGGACGGTCTAAGATTTCTAGTTGCATTAAGAACATATGCTCTGGGTTGACATTTGGACACATGACAAATTATCTTAACTTAGGCCTTTTGAATGAAGTTTCTCAGCAAGCTCTGATCTTTCCTAATTAGCAGCTCAAGTAAAAAGCAAACACATCCACTTCACCTAGAATAATCGATCATAGTCCCATGACTTGAAAAATAAGCAATGCTTCTCTCCCTCTTAACGCTTTTTGGGGATGTTAAAGCTGAGATAGCAAACAGCTCAAGATTTGGCTATGGCTGGGCTTTTTATTTCAATTTTTTTATAGTGGTAAATACATGTAATATAAAATTTACCATCTTAACCATTTTAAGTGTACGTCAGTGTTATTAATAATTCAAATTTAATAATTTATTAAATTATATTGATTTAATAATAATTGAATCGAACTTAATAATTTATAATAATTCATAATGGTGTGCAACCATCACCACCACCCATCTCCACAACTTTCTTCACCTTGTAAAACCAAAACTCTGTACCCATTAAACAGCCACTCCCCATTTCCTCCTCCTCCCACCCCCTGGCACCCACCATTCTACTTTCTGTCTCTGTGAATCTGACTACTCGAAGTGGAATCATATAGTATTTGTCTTATTGGGGCTGGCTTATTTTACTTAGCATAACGTCCTCAAGTTTCATTCACCTTGTACCATATTGCAGAATTTCCTTCTTTTTCAAGGCTAAATAATATTCCATTGTGTGTATACATTTTTCTTATCCATTCATCTGTCGATGGACACTTGGGTTGCTTCATGTTTTAGTTACGGTGAATAGTGCTGCTATGGACATGGGTATACAGATATCTCTTTGAAACCCTGCTTTCAATTCTTTCAGGTCTATACTCAGAAGTGGGATTCCTGGATCATAGGGTAATTCTATGTTTAATTTTTTGGAGGAACGGCCATACTGTTTTCCACAGCGGCTGCACCATTTTACATTCCCACCAACGGTGCACAAGTGTCCAATTTCTCCACATCCTCGCCAACACTTGTTTTCTGTTTTTTCGATAGTTGCCATCCTAATGGGTGTGAGGTGGTGTCACATTGTGGCTTTTGTTTGCATTTCCCTGATGATTAGTTATGTTGAGCATCTTTTCATGTGCTTATTGTTATGGCTGTATTTTACATACTTTAAATATTAAGTTTCTACTATCTGTGCTGAGCTTGCCTTACATATCCTTAAAGTTCACCTCCACTTTCTTTCTAAGAACTTTTAGCTTCCACTGAAAAAAAATTCCTAAACCAAGACACATGCTAAAGATGAGAAGAGTTAGGGACTCTTCTAGCACCTCATGCTGAGTTTCCAAATGGATTCATACGCTTAAAAAATGAAAACGATGTTGGTAACATATAGCATTTGAGTGGAAATAGAAAAGCTAAATAGAAAAAAGTAACTAACTTTGTTTACACAAGTAGTCACTAATGTCGGGCGCTCTTGAATAGAGTCAAATTTAATATTAGTTTACTATGTATTATTTGGCATTTAAAAAAGGAATATATTTATGTTTTAAGTCCTCGTATTTTTCATAAGCTACCTTAACTCAGGAGGTTTGTATTTATTGGTTTTTCTGTTCTTAGTAGATTCTTCTGCTTTGTTATGAAGTCACTTAACATGATCCCTTTTTAGATGCTATTCAGGACTGTGCAAAACACAATTGATTTGGCTCCTCCTACAGGCACTTTTGTGAACTGCAACCACCCGAAAAGCTCCTTTGCAGGCCCTGATTAGAAACAGTCTTCAAAATTCAGGCTGGCTTTGCTGAAAGACACTGCTGCCCCCAGGGTTTTCTTTGTGAGAATCCAGTGAGCTGGTGTCAGGAGCAGGAACAGATCTGCTGCTTTCTATTTAACTGTCAAAGCTTTCTGTAAGGAAGAAGATTTCTGACTGTTTGGCTTACTTTTAATCTCAGAATCATTGCAAACCATGTAGCTCTTATGCTTGCACTGACTGTTTGAAATCTTAGAGCCAAATCTGTGGTTCATCTCAAATAATCGTATATTTGGCTCTATCTTCTTTTCTAACATTTCCTCCCTTTTCCTGACTTTCCTAACTTATTTCTTTTCTGTTTTCCTCTCCTTTTAAATTACATATATTTTTAGTCATCTTAACTTTGTTTGAAAATCACAAGAGATATAGATGAGTAGTTGTTTTTTTCCTAATTTCTAATTTTCATGTCCCTCTTCACATATCTATTTCAGTTTTTATTATGTTTAATATTCATGACATCATTTGAGAAACTCCTGTGGGAG